TCGCTATCTCGTTATAACGAATTAGTTATCTCGTTATAACGAATTAGTTATCTCGTTATAACGAGTTAATTATCTCGTTATAACGAGTTAATTATCTCGTTATAACGATTTAGTTATCTCGTTATTACGAGTTAATTATTTCGTTATAACGAATTAATTATCTCGTTATAACGAGTTAGTTATCTCGTTATAACGAATTAATTTTCTCGTTATAACGAATTAGTTATCTCGTTATAACGAGAAAATTATCTCGTTATAACGAATTAGTTATCTCGTTATAACGAGAAAATTAACTCGTTATAACGAGATAATTTTCTCGTTAAAACGAGTTAATTTTTCTCGTTATAACGAGTTAAAAACTGTTCTTAAGTTGATATATCTAAGTAATAGGAAGTATGGCATACAAAACCGAGTCGATCAAGTTTGTTTAAAGTGTGTATGATAAATATTTCATTGAAAAACAGCAGACTAGTTTTGTTTTGTTTTTTTCAAGGGGTTGTGTCTGTGATTGTAGTTTGTTTATTTATAAATGATGCAGTTGATTTGTATTGTTTACTTACAAGACCGAAGATAATTACGTGAACATGTATACGGACACTTTTGGCTGCCTCGTGATGTTGTGTTATGAGTGGATAGTAGCCCCCGAATTTTACGCGGGCCCATGATCTAATTGCTGATCTCTCCATACCCCCTTCTTCAAAACATTTCTGATTCAATAAATATATATATATATATATCACACTGTAAGTGTATGTTGCATTAACGCCTGCATTAGCTTGCTATTATAATGTATTAATTTAGGAAATTAGACAAATAAACAAAACAAATAAAAAAAAATTAGTGTCTTTTATCGGAAAAGTTGTCATACATAAATTGCCAAACTTTGAAGCAAGTACATTTCGCAATTTGTTTTTTTTTTTGGTATTTTTTTTTTTTTTGATATTGTGTCCTTAGAGTGTGTAAATGTGTTCGATTAAAATATTGATATTTTTATAAAATTGTGATTATTGAGCGCAAGATAGAAGATTAATATTAATAATTTTTAATCATATTGCAAATTATATTTGCATCTCTTTATCAATTTGAAAGTAAGTTTTGACTGATAATTATCAAATAAACTTCAATGGCATTAAACCTACAGCCATTTTTTATTCCTATAGTGCTATTAATTTGGAAATAAAGGGGCAACTTATTATTTCGATATAACGAGAAAACTAACTCGTTATAACGAGAAAACTAACTCGTTATAACGAGATAACTAACTCGTTATAACGAGATAATTAACTCGTTATAACGAGAAAACTAACTCGTTATAACGAGATAATTAACTCGTTATAACGAGATAACTAACTCGTTATAACGAGATAATTAACTCGTTATAACGAGATAATTAACTCGTTATAACGACATAATTAACTCGTTATAACGAGATAACTAAGTTGTTATAACGAGAAAACCAACTCGTTATAACGAGATACTAACTCGTTATAACGAGATAAGCAATTCGTAATAACGAGATAAAACTAAGTCATTATAACGACATAATTAACTCGTTATAACGAGATCATTAACTCGTTATAACGAGATACTAATTCGTTATAACGACATAACTAAGTCGTTATAACGAGATAATTAACTCGTTATAACGAGTTAAATTATTTTTTTATCTTTTCAGAAATGAGCCCATCCGGCTTTCGTATATACCAACGGCAAAACATCATGATTAAAATGTATACTGTTATCAAACTCAGAAGTAGAGTCTGAGCGAAGAATAGTCAAAAGTCTATAAAACAGTACAGACTGAGAGCAGAGAAAAAGACCAGCCTCTGAAAACATCAGAGATGGGATTGGGTGTCATGAAGAAGTGAGTCTATTGACAGTCAGGCACGCCAATAGGAACTTGTTCAGATTCTTCAGTTTTCAGTTGCTTCGTCTCAAGAAACTGCTTTTCTTGGATACTGGGGTATATCATTAAGTTTCTTAAAGTATTTGGATAACCAATTACATGTACAAAAATGGTGATGTTTTTATCATAAACAAAACCAGAAAATCTGGTGTCTGGTTAACTGGAATTGTTCTAGTCCAGAACAATCTTATTTGCCTTAGTGTGTGAATTTAGAGTGGTCAAATTTAATTTCACCTTTACGACATAATCTGAGCATTATACGAGGGTTGTACCAAAATTCCGTAGACAAGCGTTGTTTTGTAGGAACCCTACGTCAGACATGAATGAAACTTCATATACAGATTAAACAAACACTATCTAATAAATTTATGGACAAATATGGAGTTACTTCACAAATTATTCCAATTTGAAAGACGCATTTCATTGTCTGGTGTAGGAAAGCGGCGCAATACCCAAAAGATGCAATTAAAATTTGGTATATTATATTTAAAATCCTACGGAAAAGTAATTACTACCCAATATTTTTTTTAATGGAAATGAAAATTCTTAATATTGTTTTATTAACTATATTTCCTCAAATTTTGGTGTGTATGCTTTGATAAATATGAATTTTATAACGTTTTATATACATAGGGTTAAAATCCGAATTTTTGAAAAATGGCTGCTGCGTTGGCCCAGGCGGCGTACTGGACTATGATCAAGTATTTTGATCCTGAATTCACTCTAGACTTACAGAAATGTCTCAGTCATAATTTTTTGGTAGACTAGGAAACTTTTTCTCCTCCTTAATATTTAAAATGACTAAAACGGTTTCTCTATGTATATGTCAATAACAGTAATTAAAATAAACGACAGGGCTAAGAAATGAGCAAGAGTTCCATTGTGCAAATCCATGAGGGAAAATAGACGAAAAGCCCGTAGAAATATAGCCTTTTCAAATTATTATTATTTCATACCTGTACATGCATATACTTTGTTTACATATTTTAATGTTTAATCATATCATAGTAAATAAGATATTTTACATTTATAACTCTAACCGTTTCGTTTGATTTAAGAATTTGATTCTGGTAGTTGAAATATCCAAAATTTTAAAAATTTTTTAACATTTTGTTTGACATCACTTTAAATGTTATTAGAAAAGTTTTCAAGTAATTTTGTTATTGAAAATTTTATAAAAGATACATTAATTTCTTTAAAAGATATGAGCTCAGTCTACGAAATTTTGGGACAACCCTCGTAAGCTGTTAGATTCACCATAATGATTACAAATAAGTGTGACTAAGATAGAAAAGACGCTTCTCTGACATGATATACAAAAAGCTGTGTATCTTGTAACATCACAATTTTTTTAAAAGAATAAAAAAAAAGTTACCTAAAAAGGTTTCGCTCAGATTTGTCTTACAGCAAAAAAAAAAATCTCTTCGAAATCCACAAAAATAACATTTTGTTTACTTAAAAGAAAAAAAGATATCAAATTTTTAGGGGAGATATATATAACCTGCATATCCTTTAAAATACTTTAAACTGAGATATATATAATACAAAATTTAAACTGAGATTAGATATGCTTTAACGTAGCTTGGATATTGTATTTCAATAACTACCTCAAGCAAATTGCATGAGGATGACAAACAAAGCAAATGTTGAAGTGACAGGTTTTACAGAGTAATTAACTTCTGTTGATTGGCAAGGGAGTGGCTGAAACATTATCCACAACTTTAAATCACAGAAAAAATTAATAACTTTTCATGCATCTTCTTTTCTTTATTTAAACTTTGTCAAATGCACAGATGGACCTCGCTTAAATGACATTTCTTCAATGTATGGATTAATATCTTAAATGTCAAACCTGCATTTTGTATGCCTTGTATCAAAAACTATTAAACACAGCATCTGGTAGGATCTATTGCTTACTAATACTTAATTAAGAGAGGATATTTTATATCAATACGTGTACAGATAAAGAAAGGAAACTGTAAAATAATAACTTTTTAATCCGTTTCCCGTTTTATCCGTTTTCTTCATTTTGAATAATTTTAATGGAAAGTCAGGTAGACCTTGCTTTAAAATTCGTATCCAGGATAACAATACATATATCAAGAAACATCAAAGAACATTAAAGAGCATAGCAAATAACCCCCTTTTTAATTAAACTTACATAATGGAATTTTAAAGATTGACTATATTTCAAAACCTTCAAAAGATATGTTTGATATTCCAGTTTCTCTGCAAAGAATCATGCCCTGAGAACAAATGTTCCTTTTATCTCTAGATATACAAAAGAACGAAATTGTTTCTAGGAAAATTAAACATGAGAATTTTGAAGTTAGTCTCTTGTTAGCATGTTGTTTGTCACCTGTACCATTTTCAAGTAGAAAATCGATACAAGGAGAGAAAAAACATTGCTTTCATTTCTTTTTTTAAATAAGAAAACCTCCTCGAAATGATCTTTGTAATAAATGTTTTATATGGCTCCGTTACTCTTGAATCATGGTTTTCTACATTAATATTTAATGCATCGGTGTGAACCGACCACGCAAACGCTTAACTTGATGAAGTTTGTATTATTGATAAGACCTACAACCATTCTCGCTTTGAATCTGCAAGTACATTGTACTTTCGCATGAAGGTATGAAACAGACTTTGCTGCTTTTTGTCCCAGCTACTTAATAAAAAAAAAAGATCATGGTCTTAATAGAAGCAAAAACCTGCAAGTGTTGAAAATTTAACCCTTTGAAAGAAATTGAAATCCATGCTTTCTGAATAGAGCAAACCCATGTAAGGTGATGAAATTAACCTATTTCTCATAATTATGACTTCCTAATGCTTTGAGGACATTTCTGTTAAAAAAAAAACAGTGTAACAAATTGAAGAAGTCATAGTACAAGAACGGTTCTCTACTACTTTTTTTTTCGTCATATTTTAAACTTATATTAAGCAAATTTGAAAACTCTTTTAAAACCATACTATTCTAATATAGTTTAATAATTTATATTGTAGGAGCCAAACCGGTGCGTTCTCCACACAAGCAGAGTTTGGTCTCGTTAAAATAGGACAAGAAGGCTGTAAAAGAAAATAAATGTATACTTACATATTGAGTAAAGATGAAAAGCTTGCACCCAAAATCAGCGAACACCCAATGATTAAAAATAAAAGCCAGACAGGTAAAGGGCACTACCACAACAAGGAAGGCTATGTCCGATATCGCCAAATTTAGAATATAAGAATTGGTGGCCGATTTCACAGCATGCAAACACGTTATGTAGATGACCACACTATTTCCTGCCAGTCCAATAAAAGTTAGCAATGACCAAATGAATATGATGGGCAAGGGGTCTATGGGGTCGTTTATAATCAAAGTAGTGTTATTCATGATGAATATAAGTTTAAATAAAGCACCAATCACGTATGAGGTACAGTTTGTCAGAAAATGTCACAGAGAGGAACTTGAAGATTATTAAATATCAAAGATTTAATTTGATCTTTTATGACGTCATTTCCTTGGAATTCCTTTTTTCCAAAATGAAAATCCCTTCCAGAAGCACTATGTGACAAATACTATCTGATTATGTCCTTTATACTATATGAAACCTCTAAAAGCACTATTGCAAATTACAGACGTCATGAATTAAATCATGCAATAACAACCCTGTTCACCACACCAATTTTTTCACTCCGAGTAGCTGAGCTGTAACAGTAGTCGTTTCAAATAGAAAACCAAAAGGAAAATAGAAGGATTAGATATGTCAAGCTCCTTAAAAGAAGCACTTGAAATCATATATTATGTTGTCAGAGCAATTCTTTCAATTCCTGTAATATTGTCTGCAAGATTGATTTTGTCGATGCAAACTACCGACACGCAAAGAAGTCAATAAGTTAAATTCTTCGTTTCTAAACCGTAAAACCACTTGCGAAATAGAAGTTTTCTTTTTAAAATATCCGTAAGATTCAAATAAAGCACCACATCAAAAAAATAAAGATACGATTTTCGGCCTTCTCAAAAAATCCTAAGAAAGATGCGACATTTATGAAATTTAATCCATTATCAATGGTGTTAAGATGGTTTTCACAGTCTATTTATAATTGTTGAAAGTATATTATTTAAATCTGTAGTCTTCCGTTAGTGCTCTCCTGTGAAATGTTGAAGGTGGAGCTCACAAGATGAGTGTTGAAAAAAAATTCCCTTGTATCAAATTTCAATACATTAACACGGTTCTGTGGAGTGGAGAACAACAGCCCGAGTGTTCAGTTCATTGAAGATGAGACTTTATATCACCCACAAAAACGCATTAATAACATTTAATTCTGCCTCTTTAACGGCGTATAATCACAATTGATTTTGGTCACCCTTGTTAAAGTAAACATTGCCATATCGATACATGATTTCCGCGGGCCTCCCCAACTTCCCATCTGTAGCAGCTTCGACTGATAAGAATTTAATTCAAAGGAACATATAATTATTTTCCCGCTAAATCCATTGGCAAATTACACCGCCCGTCACTTTGTCAGTAAAAGGGTGTCATGGCGTAGACGTCAATCAAATTACAAGTTATATCGAATCATCACGTGAAATATTAATGAGGGGTTTTAATATTAGTTCTGAGTCAACATATTCATTAAAGTGATACTTGGAGACAACTACATTCATTGTGCGGACTATTATTATTGAACGATCATTAATAATAATTAGTTGTCGTCTAATTAAATTATATCCCATAGAATTTATTATTGAAGTTAAATATATTAAAAATGGTATATTAATGGGAAGGTAAGGAATTCAAGAATTTGTAAAGTAAGACTTATTTACCAGAATTCAAAATGTCTCACAACATTTACTGTACGATTGCCTTTAAAGGAAACATAGAGATAATAGTTCACCATAGAATTTGAACAAATTTACAGTCAATACATTTGCTTCCCTCTATGTTTTACTGAGAAGATGATCAAGGATAATTTCTTAGAAAGGCAAACATCCTTTCCAAGTTATTTGTTCGTTTCGGTTGGAATTGGGTTTGAAAGGGGAAGGGGTATTACTACACTAAATACATGTAGATCAAAAATGCTTGAAAAGGTACATGTGTAAAGAATACTTGAACTTTTTTTTGTTATTCTGCGTAATTTTGTTCCGTAGAACGCTCCTGAATATATCCAATAAAAGATATGGATATTGTCTGAAGGATAGTTCCAATCGAAATATTAGAAAATTCCGACCTGTTGCAGTTAAAACCATAAATTGGGAATAATTTCATTCATGTACAAAATAAAATGATGAATGAGTAATTAATTTGGATTTTGCATTTTGTAGGTTTTTAAAAGACAAGCAAAGCAGAAAAAGTGTCATCTCCATAATATGGTAATTAGCAAAATCGGAAGTATCAAGAGACATTCAGATGTGAATGGATATAATATATGAATGTGAGTTATCTCTCTTTGTTTATTGTAAAGTTTATTGTAAAAGTAAAGTCTAGAATATGACGTCTGCTAAATATCATCCTTTGTAGTTTAAAGGTGCTTAGACACAGATCTGAAGTTAATATTTTGTCAAATGTTCTGTATAATTTCATGACTTATATGTTGTTTAGCATTTCATACTAAAATAAAATTTAAAAAAAATTGTTATTGAAAGTTCGAATTTCTGGGTGCGTTTGATTTATACATTCTTGCACTTTTTTACTAATATTATTCTTAATACTTAAGAAAAGTGACAGTTTAGTTTTGTATCAATGAAAAATATTAAAACTATAATCCAGAAATTTCAGAGTAGAAAAAGGAGAAAGCAAACACACTCACAGTATCGTCAGTCCGTAATCAGTAGTGTATGTAGAGTTAAACAATTTCAACACACCCGGTGAATCGTAAATATGAACAATAACAGAGTTGGTGCCCTGACTGTTTGCCAAAAAAAAAGAAACAAGCAAACAAACAAAAACAAAAACAAAACGTTTAACGTTTCTCGGGTGCATTCAAATTGTTAAACTCATATTGCATACAACACTGAGCATGGGCTGACGATAGTAGTGAGTTGGTTTTGCTATCAAACATTTCTTCTGTGAAATTGCTGGATTATAGATGTAATATTTTTCATTACTACACAAAATTGCATCTATTCTTAAATATTGAAAAAGAAATGAAATTTGTGAAAGCGCAAGGATGTGTTTATCAAACTCCTCCTTGAATTCGATGTTCAAATAATTTCTGAGTACTTTTTTTTATTTCATTATATATTTATTATGAAATGCCATTGCAATATATAAGTTGTGATATTATACCAAAAATGTTAAGAAATATTTAGTTCTAATCTGTGTCTTAACACCTTTAAAGGAGTCTACATATGACATTTTATTTAAGTGAAAGTATCAAAAATCTATTTTCTTGTACACTCAAGTATTACAATTCAAAAATGTTTTCTATTGCTATTTAAAGATAAAACACAGACAGGTAGATTCTAGTTTGTACATATTAAAAGATTTTTTCAGCTATATATATGTTAATGTTGCAGGTTTGTAGTGCACGTAATCTAAACATGATCTCATTATTTCTCTGTTAACTTCCATTGACTATTGAATATATTTAAATGTATATAACCAATTTGTAAATGGCTTTGATAGTTGTGACACCTACAAAAGTTTGCTTGCACATTGATGCGTGGGCAGAAATCAGTTACAAAATACATAACTGCTTTTAAAATGCATTTAAAAGGATGTTGTTTTCACGCCTCCTTTTAAAAGAGTTCCAATTTTGTTTTTCAGGAGAAACCTTTGAACACGTAATAAGTTTTAATGATCAGGGGTCTTCCATTATATTCTTTAATTAGGCTGTTATTTTACTTTTTCTTTTCCGTTTTCCACACGTCTAGAAATGAAAAAGATATTATTGTATTCTCTCTGATTTGACTCACCAATAATGGATGGCGGGAACAAAGAATTCATGACGGAAGCCGACAACATTATTTTCTTTAAAGAAGAGAAATCATCTGATAGTTTTCTGAATTGCCAATCCTTTATTATTTTGAAAATAGATATTTCATGCTGAAAACTTTTGAAATCACAGAATTATCTAGACACAAAATTTTTAATTTTCAATACCATTATTTATAAATATGTATTTTGAGAATGTAAGGCACAACTTCTGAAAGAAATATTTGTCTTCTCTGCATTCTCTCTCTGAGTCAAAATATATTTATTTAAAAGTTATTCTAAAAATAAACATTCTTTCCACCCAGTGTCATGAGACATGAAATATAATCGGTGCATAAAAGAATGGTATTCAATGATAAACGACCAAATAGTTGAGTAATCGGGAGAAAACGTATGAAAGAAGTTACATAAAGTATAAACAGCAAGAGAGAAGATTCTCTTTGATATTAGAAGACTAACTTTCTTTATTGCCTATCCTTTTTAAAACAAAAATCAACCAGCTCAGTGAAAACCAATATTATGCACATAAACGTCCACTTAATTTCTCCGCCATTATCAAACTTCAAAACTCTGAGATTCCAAAAAAAAAAAATTACTGTTCAACGCTATTTAAGCCTCCTAACAAGAAACGGATCGATTTAATGAAGTATGATGCAAAATAATTCAAATGAAATACGATTAGATCAGAGGTGTAATTAACAAGGCGTACGACAGAGTCATCGCATGATTCTTAAATAATGGAGTTTCAATATCGATTTCAAGTTAGCAGCCTCTAGTTTAATTTTAACAACTGCATGTAACAAAATATATATTAGAAAAAAAAAATGAACAATTTCAGTTTGTATGATCACGGTGTAGACGTTTAAAGTGTTACATGTACAATGTTATTTTATATTTCGAATGTTGCAGAAAGACAAATAAAAAAATGATTAGAGATGTGAAATAAGAAACCAGCAGTCATACAAAGTGTGCTCAATTGATGTATTATTTGATCAATAAATACATTTTGTAAATATAAATATAGATCCGACTGGATTGATAAATTTGGACAGGTCAAGAGAACTTTTGAGCAACGTATTGATTTGTCTCCAAAAACTTTTTTTTAGATCCAACATTCACATTCTCTATCTTATCACATTTTTTTTAAAAATTAACAAATTCATGTCGCCTGTGTAGAAATTAATGTCGCCGTTTTATTGGTCAATCTATAGAAATATCGACTTCAAAGAAAAGGATATTGACCTCGCACTTCTTGATCCTGCACTTCTGTTAAGTCGATAAATCTATGGATCGTTTTCATTATAAATCAATGATCTATAAATCTTTAAGGCAATATGAGCTGCGACTTTGATGTTGGCAATTTATGTTACAATATAATGATTAACTATCACAATATAATAAAAGAATATATTACTAAATTTTAGTGGTTCAAGCTTTGATCATTGTAAAATTACATTATTGTCGTCCTGTACAATCTTAATTTCGTATACTGATATCATTATGAGCTACTTTTTCAATAAATGTAAAACTCACAAAATTACTTATCTAGTCATTGGTCATTTGAAAAAATATTTTGTTAAAAAACATTCTGATTGTACAAGAACTCTGAAGCTGACACCAAAAAGGTGCTTGAGATTCTGATTGAGCATATCTATATGGTTTTTGGAGACCATGTCTTCCAACAATCTATTGGAACTCCCTTTGGTACCAATTGCGTCCCGTTATTAGCAGACTTTTTTTGTATTCATATGAAGCAGAATTTGTTCAAAATCTTATATGTGAAAATAAAAAAAACAGCCTTTAACGCGACATTTAGATATAACGACGACGTATAGTCAATAGACAATTGTACATGTAATTTCCATTCTAATGTCGATACGATATATCCTTGTGAGCTTGATATAAAAAAAAAAGTCTGACACATCTCTTTCATATTTGGATATGTTACTTTAAAAAGACGTTAAAGGTAATGTTACAACCAAGCTCTATAATGATAAACATGATGACTTTCATTCTTTAATCATCAACTTTCCTTATTTATGCAGCAATATACCTTCATCTCCTGCATACATGTACAAAGTTTATATCTCTGATAAGATAAGCATGACCATGCTTTATGTATCAATAACTTCTGAAGCAAGGTGTAAATAATTGACAAATAAGTTGATGATAGAAGAATATTAACAGTCTCGTTTAAAGTCACCATTTCGTAATTTCTAGGGTTGTTACAATAATCTTGTCAACAAATAGAATTTATCATTGAGTCAAATGCTGACTGACGTTTTTCATACTAATTGTTAGTGCTTTATTTATACACTGAATAGACGACGGATTCTTCTGTTATTTCCCGATCATGACAAGGAGCACAGGGTGAGTGTGCCAGAT